TGTGTTAAAATTTAAGAATACCACACTTTAATATTAAATATCATAAGGTCTAGTATCTTGATAATAATGTAGATGTTTTAATAACAATTTTTGTCCTTCTTAAAATAAAACCAGAGAGAAACTTGCTTCTTTTAGCCTTTGTTCTAGAAAATATGTGTGCACTTTGACTCTTGTCCCCCAGGTGTCGCTCCTGTTCTTCCCCACCCACTGCATGTACTCGGGGCCAGGGCTGCCCAGGACTCCTGGGACAGAACTGGCCCCAGCTGGCTGTGCCTGGGGCAGTGTCCCTGTGTGCACACGGAGACCCAGCTAACCCCGATTCTCAGCAGCACCTTGTTAGCAGGGACAAGCTGTGCTCTGTACAAGTGATCCTAGGAGCCCCCTGTGCATGCTTTCTTGCAGTCTGCCTGCTCGACTGCAGGGACTGCCTGTGCTTCTTGCTTTTAGCATCATGTGACACCCTGGATTCTGTGCCCTTTTTGGGTGCGGCCTGTCTAGGAAGGTGAGGGGTCATGCCATGCTTTACAATTCGATCCAGACTGCAACCCTGATCCTCTGGGTCCAAGCAAGACCCAAGGTTACACAGGAAAGTTTTGTGTCCCCCCCCCCTTTTTTTTAAACTCTCTGAGACAGAGTATTTATTAGTATGTAGCAGTGGATGGTCCCAGCCTGGATCATTTGTTCCCGCTTCCACTTTCCTGAATGCTAGGATTTTAGGCCCGGGTTACCATGCCCAACAGTTTCCTCAATTTTCAAACACTGGGCGTCTCTCTGATGTGTGCTCAGTCTAGAGTAAGTGCTCATGAGACAGTCTCACTATAAAGCCCTAGCTGGCCTGGAATTCTTTTTCTTTTTCTCTTTTTTTCCTCAAGACAGGCTTTTTCTGTGTAGCCCTGGATGTCATGGAACTCACTCTGTAGCAGGCTAGCCTCAAACTCAGAGATCCACCTGCCTCTGCCTCCCCAAATGCCAGGTGGAAGTCACCACTTGCCTCCAAGCAGATAGCTGTTGCCACAGAAGAACGTCTTGTTGGTGAACTGGGAACAAATACAGTTAGGGAAAATGAAGGATAAAGTATAGCAATGGAGTCAGGACCTTGATTAAAAACTTAACAGACCTAGACATCTACAGAGGGCTTTGGACCTCTAAGTCCAGAAACCCTGGACATGTGGACAATTCAAGCCCCTGTCCACAGCCCTTTCAAATGTCTCCAGGTACATATTCAGCCATACTTTCTCCCCACTGCTGCTATCCTCAGCCACCCTGGCTCAGCAGTCTGCTGATCAGTGGTGACACTGCCAGCTGAACCCCTTGAGTACATGGTAAGGGTGTCAGTGTGGACTTTGAGCAACATAACAATTTTCTAGAGTCAAGGCCTCCTCGTTAGGCCTACTGTTTAGCTTTGAACTATTTGCAAGATGTAGTCTGGTGTCACATACATGGTGCATTAATCTGTCTTCTGTTGAGTAACAGGATGCCTAGGACCAGATCATTTGTGAAGAATGGAAGCTGTTTGGCCCACAGCTCTGAGGGCTAGAAGTTCAAGCAGCATGACAGGTCAGCAGCATCTGGTGAGGGCCCCGTGCTGAATCTACATGGCAAAGGAGGCAGTACAAGCTGTCTAGTGAAAATCCACCCTCTCTTTGGTTTTTGTAAGATAGAGTCTCTCTATGTAACCCTGGCCACCTTGGAACTTACTTCATAGACGGGTTGTCAGGCTTGGCAGCAAGTGCCTTTTCCCCAAGCCAGATTGCTGGCTATAGTCATGAACTCTTGATCCTCCTTCTGTGGCCTCCAGATTAAAGGTGTACATCACACACCATGTTGGCTTCCATCTCTGTGTTAAGCCAGTTCTGTACCAAACAACCTGGGTCAGCCCCTGGCTGCAATCACAATGCCAGCCCCCACCTCATTCTCACCTCAGAGGGACAAGGTTCATGCTGGCAAAAAGACCAGGAGGAAGGGTTCCCTTTGTGCTCACCAGACAGCCTCTGATGACTGAAACATACAGCTGTTCAAAAAACAGTGATGGAACAATGGAAAGAAACATTGGAAAGTTAAAAAAGAAATTTTATTATGAGAAGGAATGGGGTCGGGGGAGAAGGGTCAGGGACAGAAATGACACTGCTGAAATGTGGCTTATGGGGTCTGGAGAGGTGGCTAATCTTGGCTGTCTACTTGACTACATCTGGAATCAACTGAAACACAAGCAGCTGGGCACACCAGGGAGACTGCGTCCTTTGAAGTGGGAAAACCCATCTGAAATCTGGGCCACATCTGGTGGCTTTTGTCTGCTTGCCCTCACTTGTGCTGACAAGTTCATCTACCCTGTTGCTGTGAGGCATCCCTTCTACAGTGTTAGAACCTATTTCAGATTCCAAGGTAGACTGAAGACCAGCAGCTCTGTAGGAACTCTTCAGGGTTCCAGCATCAGATTGGAACTGCTGAGATATACATGTACTGAGGTTTCTATACAAAAATTGAAAGTAGGGTGGACTGGATGGCTCAGCAGGTTAAGGCATTTACAGCTAAACCAGATAACCTCAGTCCAGTCTCTTTCCACAATATAGTAGAAGGAGAGAACCAGCTCCCACAAGTTGTTTTCTAACCTCTATATGTGTACCATGGCATGACACACACACACACACACACACAGAGGTGGGGGGAGAAAGATGAAGGTTGTAATTAGAATTAGCCAGGCACAGTGATGCACACCTGTAATCTCAGTACTCAGGAGGCAACAGGAGGAGGATCAAAAGTTCAAGACTATGGCTAGTGATCTGGCTTGGGGTAAAGGTACCTTGCTGCCAAGCCTGACAACCTAAGTTCCTTTCTGGGACTCACAAGGTGGAAGGAGAGAGCCAACGTACAAACTGTTCTCTGACCTACACACACACGACACTGTGTGCACCTACACATACACAATAGAAATAAATGAATGTAATAATTAAAAAAATAGGGCAATAGTGGTGCACACCTTTAAATCCTATACTTGGGAGGAGGAGGAAGGTGGATCTCTGTGTTTGAGGCCAGCCTGGTCTACAAATCAAGTTCCAGGATAGTCAGAGATGTCTCTAAAAACCAAAGGAAAAAAAGTGTGTGTGTGTGTGTTTAATGTGTCTGAGTGGTTTGGCTGTATGTATATATGTGTACCATGTGTGTTTCTTGTGCCTGCAGGGATCAGGAGAGGGAGTTGAACCACCAAGAAGGGTAATTAGGATGGGTATGAACTACTATGTAGGTGTTGGGAACCAAACCTGGGTCCTCTTGCAAGAGTAAGAAGTGCTCTTAACTGTTGAGCCAACTCTGTAGTCCCAATTTAAAAACAAACAAAAAAATCCAGACAGTGGTGGCACATGCCTTTAATCCCAGCACTCGGGAGGCAGAGGCAGGTGGATCTCTGTGAGTTCAAGGCCAGCCTGGTCTTCAAAGAAAGTTCCAGGACAGCCTACAAACCTACAGAGAAACCCTGTCTTGGGAAAGTGTTAAGGTGAGGGGAAGACAGAGGATCTATGGAGCTGTGAAGGAGTTGAAGTGAGGGTTAAAGTGCTTGCCTGGCATGCACAAAGCCCTCAGCTCCATCCCCAGTCCTGGAACAAAAACAAAAAAGGAAGCCGGCCAACCCTGCTGGTACTAGCCTAATCCTAGCTACTTGAGAGGCTGAGACAGAGAGATCACAAGTTCAGTGCCTGCCTGGGTTACAGAGTGAGTTCTGGGTTTGTCATTATATAATCTATACTGTATAGTAATTTTTCAGTAAGCTGGAGAGGAAGAGAAGGCAGTTAAAGAAGACACTAAGGACTTGGGCAAGAGAAGGCAGCAGAGGCACATTTCCAGCTCTGTGTAAAGTGTGATTCTGGAAGGCAGCCAAGGGTCTTTGTGGAAATGAGCCAGGACAGAAACCAAGAGGTGCGGAAGCAGGCCTGAAGGGGAGTTACTGTGTTCAGTTTTGGAGGTGAGCCCCAGAATCACTGTCTGGCTTGATCAAGACTCCACAACCTGACATCTCTGCCTAATCTGACACCTGTGGCACCCTTCTGGAAAGATGAGCACAACCAAGTCCTTGACTTCACCCGTATACATTCAATGTCCCGGGGATCACCTGTGGGAAAAGGAAGGGACTGTGGTAGGTGGCCAACTGCCACTTAAACCTCCGTGATGGACAAAGAAGCAAGGCAGTCCGTCACTCAGGACAAGCCTGAGCCAAGTTGGCAGAGCTGTCCCCTTTCAGTAGTGTCCACCCTGCCAACCATCCTAGAGACCTACTGTCTTCTTCCCTTTCTAAGAGAACAAAAAGATTTGGAGAACAGGCTTGCTTCAAGTTCCACAGATAGTATAAAGCCCCAATTATGCACCCTGCATGTACATATGCATGTCTTACAGGGCTCATGTGCATGGCACATACACATTCAAACATGCCCAACCCCTTGGGGCTTAAAAGCTCCCATGTGATTGCATGGTGTCACTACAGTATCTTTTGTGTTGAGCTGCCTGGGGTGCTGGTCTTATCTGTCATCCCTTTTTTCAGCCATCTCTGATCCCAGCCCAGGTTGATTTCCACAGTGTCCCCTGCTCTCCACTGAACCTGGGCTTCCAGGCCTCCCCTACCCCTCTGCTCCTTGTATGTGCCTGTGCTCACTTGCTGTGGGCGTGGAGCTCTGCTCACCGTTCTCATCTGGCAGCCCTGGTTATGGCTCCCAGACTGGGGGAGAACTTCCCTTTGCAAAGTTAGATAACAGGCCAGGTTCTCTGTCAGAGGATTGGCGCGGTGGTTCCACGTGCTGCAGCTGGCGCAGGGCCAGGTCCGCCCTGCCAAGCAGCGGGAAGGGAAGGCCTGGCTGCAGTCGGAGCTGGCAGGTGGCCGAGCTGGGGGTGGACAGGCGGGCTGGGGCTAGGGCTGCCCATTGGCTGCCTCAGGCTCACACCCCGCCTGCCTCCCTAGCCTGTGGCTCCCTATCCAGCCCCTGCCTCTCCAGCTGCTTCTAAACTCGGGAGCAAGCACCTCCTGCTGGGCCATGTCAAGCTGCAACCAGATTGGAGTGGCCCCTGCCATGGACATGCCTGAGGTCCTCAAGTCCCTGCTGGAACACTCTTTGCCTTGGCCAGAGAAGAGGACAGGTAGGAACACAGGTGGTCTATACTGGCAAGATACCTAAGTGCCCGAGGGGTGGGAGCAGGCGAAGGGACAGTAGCAAGATGGGTGAGGAAGGGCTGCAATGCAGAGAAGGACCCAAGGAGGTATGTGTGCGCCACATCAATTCTGGGGCTGCCCCCCATACCTACTGGCTTTGGGCGCTGTGGAGAGTGTGCAGCTGCTGACAGGTGCTGTGCTCACATGGGACAAGGACAAGACAGAATGCTTGAAGGAGCCCAACTGGAAGCTGATTGCTTCTAAAGCTCCCTCCCTCTGCACGTTGGTGACGAGCAGAGGAGTGGCAGAGCCAGTAGATTTGGGCAGCAGCAATAACTGGAGAAGGCCTTCTGTGCCTGCCACTTGCTCAGTGCTGTAGGGCTGAACTCATGGAGATGGGATGGAAGCCGGTTATGTAACAGGACCACAAGCCCTGCGTTCCTAGGATACCACAGGCAACCCCAGGGCTAGGGACAAGCAGAAGAGTAGAGTGAGTGGCAGAGGGTGTGGAGAGGGGCAGCCAATACCAAATATCTTATAAGTCTTTCCTGGGAAAGTTAAGGGCTCAGGCTGCTTAGCTTAGGGAGTTGGGAAACCAAATTGGGGTACTCTCTTCTGATATTTTTGTCACCAAATCTCTCAGACTCACTCCAGGTTTTTACTACCATTACCAAAAAAAAAAAAAAAAAAAAAAAATCATCCCACGGTGCTGGGGATTGAACCTAGGACTTTTGAACATAAGCTTTGCTACAGAGCTGTGCCACCAGCCCCTCCATATTGCCTTTAGAATAGACCACCCTGTCTCTGCTGCCAGGGGGACAGGAGGTCAAGGTACTCCCTTGGGACCCTTTCAAGGCATCTGCCTCATTCTGTGCTGGTATCTGATATGTCTCATCAACCTGGTGTCCTTGCAGGACTTCTTCCTGGAGGGCTCTCCAAGCTTTGGAGCCGGAGAATTGCCCTGGTTCTTTTCGCCCTTGGGCCAGTATGAACTTAATTTGTTAACTAGGGGAAGCAGGGCAGAGGCTCTGATCCTGGGATATGCTATCTATGTTAGAGGGTTTCCCCAGAGCTCATGGTGAGGTCCTGAGAGGGCTCTTGTGGATCTTTGGACCCGGCCTGTGGTCTCAGTCTCGGTCTCAGTCTTGGTCTCTCTCTTTTTGGTTTTTCAAGACAGCGTTTCTTTGTGCAGCCTTGGCTATCCTGGAACTCCATCTGTAGACCAGGTTGTCCTTGAATTCACAGAGATCTGCCTGCCTCTGCCTCCCAAGTGCTGGGATTTTTTTAAAATGGTGTTTAGTTTTTTTTTAAGATTTTATTTATTTATTATGTCTGCACACCAGAAGAGGGCACCAGATCTCATTAAGGATGGCTGTGAGCCACCATATGGTTGCTGGGAATTGAACTCAGGACCTCTGGAAGAGCAGTCGGTGCTCTTATCCTCTGAGCCATCTCTCCAGCCCCCAAGTGCTGAGATTAAAGGCATGTGCCATCACTGCCCAACCAGCCTGTGGTTTCTAATGCTGAGGCATTTAAATACCCTTCTAGACAGGTGTCAGAGAAGGTGTTCCTGCATCCAACTGCACAAAGAACACCAAATGCTGACCAGGAAAAGCCATTATTCCTACACACCCCTGGGAGAGCCCCCTGATGGATGAGCCTCAGCTAAGGTCCATGTCTACAAACAGGCCACGGACAGCTTTCTGCCATCTCTGGGTGTCCTGTGTGGGTGGGCCCAGCTGGAAGGCTTTCTGAAATGTAAGCAGAGCCTTTCCATTCCTGCAGGTACTAGGGAAGATGATGCAGCACCCTCATGACCCCACCCAGCTGTCCCAAGATGCCTGCTGCATTGTAGACAGGGTCAACTCACAGGGGGGTATTCTCGGGGTTGGCTCAGGGCACTGCTCTTTGCACGAGACTAATACTGCCTCTGAAGTGTGGTAGCAACTGTTGGTCACTGGCTCCCAGCTGTTACACAAAGTCCTGGGAAAGCTGAAAACTCCCCATCTCTCATGAGCAGCCAGGGCTGAACTTTGGGAGACTTGCCCAAGGTTTGAGGCAGAACTTTGCCAAGGTCGGGTAAGTTCTGCCTGAGGACTAGTTAGCCCCATTTAGCTGGGTGTTAGGCCTAAGTCTTAGATCATCTCCTGTTACTTTATGTGGCACTTCATTGAAAATCAGAATATGCCATCCCACAGGACTGACAGCAGTTTGTGACTTACTCGGGGGAAAAAATCAAGGGGCAAGTGGTGGAGAAGCCAAATATGTCACAAAGCCCCCACTCACATTACCTATAGTCACTACTCCCCAAAGCTCCCAGACAGACTTCCTAAACCACTTAAGTGTCTGCCCAAACAAGTCCACACCCACCACATAAGCCAGAAGCTCAGGAGTCTTAGGACAAGAACTTTACAAGTTCCTGTTGTGGTTGTTTCTCCCCATTTCCCACCACTCTGCCTTGGCCTCTGTGGGGGTTGGCAGAGCCAGGAGCTTGCCTTCAGCTCCGTGAAAGAGGTAGGTTTCTCCAGGAAGACCCTTTCCCTTTTCCTTCTCTAGCTCAGACACTGTGCAGCATAGCCAAGTCACATGCAGGGTGTAGTCAAGCTCCAGTGGGAAGGAATTTCAGATGAGAGCATTGCAGTGTGTGAGAAATTCCAGGTGTGCCCTCGAGAATGCTCTCCCTGAAGCTGCATGCTCTATTTTCTAGTTCAAAGACACTTCCCAAGATCTACATGGAGCCCCTTGGCAGCTCCAGGGCCTGCTACAGCCTGTACAAATGTCTGCCTCTCCCTGGTCCCCAAGCAGATAGGCTTTCCTGGTCAGTACTGACCAGACTTGAGATTCCGTTGGTTGCTTGGAGGTCCTTGCTCTGAGCTACAATTCAACCAGCTTCCCATGACTGAGAAATCCATGAACAAAAGTATTGATCTATTATCCAAGCTCTGACTCAGTTTCCCACCTCTGATTCTATCTATAAAAATCATGCTTCCTGTCTCTGCTCTTACACTTTCCCCATGGATTCTCCTCCAGGGTTCACGCCATCTCCTGCTTCTATCTTCTTCGGCCTATTGTAAGATCTTGAGTCTTATCTGGTTAGCTTTTGACTACCTACTTTCCCTCAGTGCCTAGGATGTGGTGAGTGGCACCCTTATCCAACTTTTTGTCTAATCCACTTATCCAGGCCTCCATTTACAGGAGCTGGCATGGCTTAAAGTCAAACTAGGTCTTCACTTTGAGCTGGGCAGAAAGGGACACTTCTGGACAAGGATGCAAGAGGAAAAGCCTTAAAATCAGAGTCAGAGTGTAAACCTTGGCTCTGCTGCCCAGTAAGAGCCTAGCCTTAAAAAAGGATGGGGAATACCTATGCCACAGGCTCCTTGCTATGGAATACCTATGCCATGTGCTGTCCCACATGGAAGTGTTTCAAACTGTGACGTGACATGTTGTTTTCTGTGAAAGGCCAAGAGCAGTGTGGCTGGCTTGGTGTTTGCTCTTTCTTCCTATAATCTGACCCTCGTCCCCTTGCTTCCTACACTGACAATCTGATCCTCATTTCCTTATTTTCACCTTCCTTTAAAGAAGTGGATGTTATGAGGCTGTGCACATACAGAGCTGTTTCCTTGGAAGTGCATGGTGAGACTTCTGAGGCATGATAACATCAACCCTATGGGACACGACAATAGACAGAACAGTAGGGGGGCTTGATGGGGTACAACAAAAGGGTACAGGGAAACGGACTCACTCCAGTCCTCCTGGTGACTACATGCAGCCTTGGCTGACCCAAACTTGGTCTTAGCAGAGGTCTATATGGGGACTCCCACAGCCTGGGAGGAAAAATGACAGAGGGCCTTCTATGTGCTGGGTATACTCCTCACTTCAGCCTGCTAAGTGTACATCTTCCCATTCTTTTAGTGAAAAAATGAACTCAGAGAGCTTGGCCTCCTCAGGACAAATAGGTGAGTGGCTCTTTCCTTCCTTGTGAGAAGCCCAGGGTCTTGTTCTCCCCATTAGAAACATGAAAAACTCAACTTCATTAAGTGCCAGATACTGATGGCAATGTCAACCCTTTCCAGATGGCTTTACATCTGGCCAGACCCCAAGTGATGGTCTAGGATGGGAGGGTCACACAGTTGTCAATGATGTACCCAGCTCCTGTTGCAGGCTCATACCTATCCACAGAATTCCCTGGTCTCTGAAACCATGTGGTGTTTCTTGGTTGTTCAGTTATTCATTATTAGCTTAGTGAGCATTTGCTATGCTGTGGCTCAGGTGTGGATAAGACAAACACTGTCCTTGTTCACCTACAGCTGGCAACATAGCAATCATGGGTCCAGATGGCCTTTCCAAGGGGCGACACTTAAGCTAAGACCTGGAAAGTGGGGTAGATCGAACTATGTTGTGAAGAGCTTTCATGCTGTGGGGAAAGCACCCCAAAGGCCCTTCCCTTTGTCTGCAGAAAAAAGGGCCACTTGTGCCACAGAAGGTGAGCCATGGGGGAGAGAAACACTAGTGAAGTTGGAAAGATCCCACGGACAAGACCTCAGAGGCTGGGCCCTACAGCCTGCTCCTGATTCTGCATCACCAACAGGACTTCAGCTAGGGAAAGCAGACTGTCAGACAGAGGTGGGCCAGACACTGCACAAGCTTGTTGTAGTGGGGGGAGGTTTCTCTCCATAGTCATGGCACTATTGGAGCAGCTCATCGGTTATCCAAAACACAAGCCAAATAGGAAACTAGGACTCTTGAGAGTATTGAAGGGAGAGGCAAGAATTTACAAAGAAGCTCCACCCTCCACTTCTACCCTAGAGCACATTGAGACCAAAGTACAAAGCACAGACCCACAGTTTCCCAGCCACAGGTATGTGGGCTACAAAAGAGAGTTGCTGGCAAGGCTGGTGCTGGGGACTAGCCAAAAGAATGGCTCATGCTTGTTCTTCCAGATTCCATTGTAAGTCAAATACATGACTGTTACTTCACATTAATAACA